CACATACACACACACACACACACACACACACACACACACACACAAAAGCACACACACACACACACACACACAGAAGCACACATACACACACAGAAGCGCACACACACACACACACACACATAAACAGATACACACACAGTGTCCTTTGTTTTGTCTTTAAGAACAATCTGGAAACCCTCTTGATATTTCCTGCTCTCAATCTTTAGCTCTCATCTTCCTGCCCCAATGAAGAGCAGTAGGGGAAATGGGAATAGCATAGGGCAGATGAGGACAGCGTTCCCCTGCCTCTGAAAAGCAGATCCATATTTAGTATGGTTTACACGGTCTTCAGTAACCGCCTGGAGCAGACATAGAACATAGCACTTCAAAAGCAGTAGTACACAGTTTCTCTATACAGGATCCTATCACATGAATTAAATGTTTTTTAAAGGCCATAGGAATGGAGGAAAAAACATCACTGCCACCAAATAGGAGCTCTGGATTCATATTTGAATCATATTGGCAATAGTTAAGACTACATCCAGCACCAAATATACGGTGACAAGAGAGCTGTGATTTTGACTGTGTATGTGGGGCTTATTGCGGCAGTAGAGTGGCAGAACAGAGCAGCAGAGGGCTGGATTTACTTTCCAAATTCACATTTATGAATACAAAGAGAAGAGCTGTCAGCACACATGCCACTGTCCCAGAAGCAGCCAAACCTACCTCTTCCCCGTCTGGCTAGGCCAAATGCAAAAAACAGATCATGCTATCTAGGAAAATCAAGTCAGAAGAAAGGAGACAAGTGAAAGAAGAAATAGAGAGAGAAATGTCCTGTTACATCTTCTCATGAGTGTTCTGCAACTTGCAGAATTGTAATGAATTGAGGGGCAAAAAGATCTGGCCAGAAAAAAAACAAAAAAAAAAATTGAAAGACAAATCTAAAAACAGCCTCACTGTTGTATCTACTAGTAGGTAATAAGAGTAAGAGAAATTAACTACATATAGACATCAAAGACTGAGGCACTAGTCGGCTTAGATGACTTGCAAAGTCCTAAGGGATCAAGTGAACAAATGATTACAGCAACATGCCAGGAACCTTCTTCACAGAAAGATCTTAAACTGCATTTCTAGCTCACATCATACTAGAGACAATAGTCCCTCTCTAGGTCACTGATAAGACTGCAACTAAAAAGCTGCAGATCCTTCTCCAGACTGAGATGAAAAACTGAACCATCAACAGTTGAACAGCTAAAGCAATTGACTAAAACATTTATTTCTTCTATGGAATATGAGGAACCTTCACAGTAAACTTCCATGAGTTTACCTCAACTAAAGATAAACACAAGACTAATGAAGAAAATATTAATAATTTGTACTGACAAAATGATCTGGCCAATCTCAGATGTTTATGTTTAATAATAATTTAAGGGGCTAGGAGTGTAATTCTATTTACAATGGTAGAGTGTAAAGCTTTGCGTGTATCAGACCCTGGGTTCAATCCACAGTACCAGAAGACAGAAAATAAACAACTAGCCAAGTATCTCTCTCTCTCTCTTTCTCTCTCTCTCTCTCTCTCTCTCTCTCTCCCCCACCACACACACACACACACACACACACATCCTGTACTCACTAGGAAAAACTGGGTAGCCATAAAAGAAAAACTTCAGTTGTTACCTTAATGTATGATGATTACACCCCAGAAAGCTGCCTAATGCTTTACAATTCACAGCACCAATTCTCATAATTATTTATATAATCCTCATAAAAACCATGTGGAAAGGTCAAGGTGGCTATTATTATGTCCATTTTACAGATGAGAAAGCAAAGTTTCCAAATAATTTGTGACTGGTTTTGTCAGTCACCTAAATCCTGAAACATTTTGAGAATAGAAAATGTTTACATTATGATATCAAAACTCAATTTAAAAAAACCTCAATACATATTTATGCTTTCATTCCACAGCTTTCACACAAGTTTAAGGGAGATATTAAACTGAAAACAAAAAATAAGATAAAGTTTATAAAAATCCTGGAGGCTCATCATGTAGCTTTATTCAATTTAGCTACAGAAAGTTGAAAGTCACAATCCAGAAAATACTTTTAAATTTGTGATTTAAACAAAGCAAACTGGTGAGTGCATGACATATCAAAGCTCAAATAATCCTAGGTGTTTTAAAAACTGCTTTACAAATTTACTATGTCAGAAACCACATGATTATACCTAGAAGTGTTAAAAGTGGCCTTAATTGGTGTGATTTAAAAGACATGTTTGCCAGGATGTTTTTTAAATCCAAACATAATTTTTTTCTTTTCTTTTCTTTTTTTTTTTTTGCTTTTTGGGTCACACCTGGTGATGCACAGGGGTTACTCCTGGCTCTGCACTCAGGAATTACCCCTGGTGGTGCTCAGGGCACCATACGGGATGCTGGGAATCGAACCCGGGTCAGCCGCATGCAAGGCAAATGCCCTACTCGCTGTGCTATCGCTCCAGCCCCCAAACATAAAATTTTTACACTTTCAAAATCTTTTATTAAAACTTAACAAAAGACATAAAAACTCATTTTAAATAAAATATAAGAAAATAAAAGCAAGGAGGAATACACCTCCAATCTCTGGATGTGTCTTTGCATCAAATCTGCTTGCAATGAAATCAGATGACTATGGATTACAAAATAACTTAGATATCCAGAAAATAGCGATTTGCACAGAGCAAACTTTTCATTATCAAGGAAGAGCCAAAAATCTGCCCTAGAACTCTAGGAACAGAAGGCACTTCTTTCTGGGCATCATTTGGAGACACAGACCTGCACTTACTGGGGCTGCACATTATTTAACATGACTGAAAGTCATATATCTAGCTTTGTCCCTAAGGAAAAGTGAAGCATATAGGGTCCAGCTGTCGAAGAACACAGGAGTTCACTGCAGATTTCTGAGTTCCTGTCATCAGAAAAGCCTCTCTGTATATCCTGCTAGAGGTAATGTAATGTTTACTTGTTCATGGATGTGTAAATAACACATGAAAGGAGAAAGTTTGTCTACTGGTGAAAACACATTCATCAGCTGTTGAGCCAAGAATAGTTGAATGCTTGTTAAGTCTACTCATTCAACTGGTAGAATTAAAACTTTCAATTAACAAACTACATGCCTTTTCAGCTGGGGCTCTCCGTGCAGCTACAAACACTGGTGGGGAAATCGATACCCACTCCAACTTGCCTGCTTATAATGACAGGCAGCAGGCACAGCCGCTCTACTAACAGGCATTATACAGCAGAGAGGCAGGCAGGAATACCTACTCCACGAAGAATTAAATCACCCAATCATTCACTGTACAGAGTCGCTATCGTCTGCCTGCAACACCTATATGTACATCGATTTTTCCTATGCACGGTGCATTTCATAATCTGCCTACGACACGATGTCCAAGAATCTACTTGGTTAAGTCCTTTCAGAGGAGAGAAAAGGGGTCGGACCCACAATAAACATCTCTCGGCAGGGAAAGCGCAGTAGGGAGCCAGCCGATTTCCAGGAAGTCGGGTAGCCACAACAAAGAGAGAAACTGACAAGTACAAAGTAACTCGCTTCTTCGGGTCCAGCCATCTCAGCCAGGCGTGCTGCGGCCGCTCTCCCGAGCTTCTCCATCATCACCCCCCTCGGCCACCTCTGCGTCTTCCTGTGCACGCCGAGCCGGGGCCAGCAGACTCCCGCGCCAGCCAAGCTGGAAAGTTGTCAGGACCAGCGACCAAGTGGGAGGTTAGCTGATGGCGCCCAGTGTCCACCTGGTGAAACTTCAGGGCCCCCTCCAGAGGAGAAGGGAATCTAAAGAAACTGATCAACCCACAGGACTGATCACAAAACTGTACGCAAACCCCAGACGGGAACCGAACCGGGCTTTCAGCGACTTCTTTAAGTGGCTGTGCCTAGCTAGAATCCAAGAGGCTAACTCCGAGTCGGCGCCAGATCCCAGAGTTGAGGCTGTGCTGCGGGGGTGGGGGAACGTCCTCTGCCGCCTCCGCCACCCGGGCGGGCTCCGGGAGGACCCGGGACAGCTTGGTAGGAAGGGGTGTGTGTGTGTGGGGGGGGGGGGGGTCAGGCATCCACATCCGGCGCCCAGACCTCGCTCCCCACAACAGCTCCGCAGGGATCACTGGAGCATTTTTTTTTAAATCTCTGAATCTCCGCCAACACACACACACACACACACCCCACACCTCACACTGTTGCTTGCCTTCCCCGCCCCCCCCCCCCCGCAGGGCAAACCTCTGGACAGTTCAACGCCCGCAGGCGGTGGGGGGGGGGGGAGGAGAACTGGGACTGGGGGAGGGACCGGGAAGTAGCCAGACAATAGTCAAGGGAGGTTATTCCCGGGACAAAAAAGCACCTGGCAAAGTGCGCCGCGCGCCGGGTCCCTCGGAGTATCCACGCTTCTGACAATAGCTGGCCAAGCAAGGGGGTTTGGTTTTATTGCCTTTTTTTTTTTTTTTTTGCTTTGCAACCACAGGAGTTGTTCCACCGCTCCAAGCCCACAACCCGAGCAACAGAGTAGCCGTTCCCAGAGCCCCTGATTACTTTTTCCTTTCTCTCCTTCCCGGTGCGCTGCCCGCGGCCGCGCTGGACGCCGCAGCTACCAGTTGCCCGAGCCAAGCCGGAGCTTCACTCCCAGCCCGCCAACCTGAGTCCCGAGCGAGGCTCCGCGGGGAACAATGGGGGTCTGGGCTGGGAAAGTTACCGAACCGCTGCCCCCCCGCCCCCACTTCACCAACGCGTCCCACCTGCCACCAACTCCGGGGCCGTTTCTCCACCTCTCGGGTGCACCTCCCAATGCTCCTCTCTCCGGACTTCCAAAGCGATCCCCAAATGCTAGCCCCGGGCCTTGGCCAGGAGCCCGTCTCCCACCCACCCCACCCCCGCCACGCGCCCCCCTCACACACACACCCCTGCGAGCCCCGGATCGGGGCGTTCGTCCCAAGCCCGGGCACCCCACTCCCCCCCACTCCGCACCCCTGCACCCCGACTACTCACCTGCAGAGAACTGGCCTTGGGCCGACCCCAGGAGAGGCCAGGGGGACAGGAGCCAGAGCGCCACAAAAGCAGCCAGCGCCGCCGCCGCCGCCGTCGTATCCATGTCGACTTTGGGAGAAGTTTCAAGCAGCTCTGCAAAGAGCGAGCGAGCGAGCGGGGCGTCCGCCGCCCGATCCACCGGCCAGGTGCTCCCGGAGCGGGGCCGGGGCCGGACCGAGGGGCCACCGCAGCCCGCCGGGCACTTCTGCCTTCGGGGCGCGGGTCAAACTACCTCCGGGGCGCGAGCGGGGCCGGCGGGGCCGGCCGGTCGCCGCGGCAGCTCTCCATGCTCGGCGAAGGCTGCTCGGGTTAGTCCGGAGTTACTTTGCTCGGGGAGGGACGGGGGGCGGAGCCGGGGGTGACGTCGCCCCGCGGGGCCGGGCGCTTCGGCGGAATGCAGGCTCGGGCGCGCCACCGCCGCCGCCGCCGCCGCCTCCTGCCAGGGAGACGCGCGCCAACGCCGGCCGCGCGCCCCGCGCCCCGCGCCCCGAGCCCGGAGCCCCGCGTCGCCTTTGTTCGGCGGGGCCCGGCCTCGGCGCCCGCCGCCCCCGGCTTCGAAGAACGGGCGGGAAACGGGAGCCGGCGCCGGGCGGGATCTAGGGGTGGCAATGGGAGCGGGCGAGGCACACGGTGCGGGGGGAAGACCGAGCACGGGCGCGGAGCAGCACCCACCGTCGGAGCGGAGGCTTTTGTCGGGCGCCCCGGCACCCCCGCGCACCCCACCTCCCCGTGCGGGTCCCACCGCCCCGGCTGCCGGGCCACCGGGAGGGCTCGCGGCAGCGCCCCGAAGGGAGCGCGCACCCATCTGCATCGAACTCCCGGTTCCGCAGCCTTGCAAGAAGGAATCAGACACCCACTCCCATAGAAAACTTATTGTTCCTCCGTCATATAAAAATAAAACTTGAACCAAAATAAACGTTCGGTAACTTTCCAGTGTGAACAGCTGCCGCGTCTCTTTTCTGGTTTATTTGTCGTTAGCCGAATATTTGGGTTTATCTCCTTGCTTCAGTGACTTTGCTGGTTCTGAAACCGTCTGGTGGCCTGTTTGCACTTCTCACCTCCAGGACAGACCCGAGTCACATCAGGGCTGAGAGTCCTTCCCTTGTTTGCTGGACGGCCCAAGGGTTTGGCAGCCCAAGGGTTTTGCTTAGTTTTTTGGTTCTTTTTTTAAAGTCGAAAAGCCTTTTAAGACTTACGTATTTAACAAAAGGACTTTACACCGACAATGAAAACAGCAACGGATGATCCATCTGGAGGAAAAGAATGCTATATTATGACAGTAAAGTATTTTACAGTTTGCTACTTCTTCTACAGCTTCAAGTGATTATACCATATGTCACATTGCTTCTGTAAAAAGATTATAGTGCATACTTGATTCATTTTTATCATGCATCAAATAAACTATCCCAATTAGAAAATTTTAAAAAAATTCCCAGAATTTTGATGTCATTTAATTCAGTTCCTAGGACAAAAGAGTTTCTTGATTGGCATATGTCAGTTACTCCAACATCTTATCTTTAGCCTTTGTAAGTCAAAGCAGTGTGAAACTCAATTTAACATAGCATTAACATAATTTGCCAAACTGCATATTTCTTTATGGGAAAAAAATACGTCACTATGATAAACTGAAACTGGACATATATATATATATATGTATATATATGTATATGCACCTTGTCCATACACAAACATATACATATAATCAGAAAGAAAAATAATTTTAATTTGCTAAGGAAAAAAGCTTAATTAAACAGTTTTTGGAGTCTTTAGGCTGGCTCATTAGTACACTGACTTACCCAACATTTAATTCAATTCAGCATAGTTAATTTATAAGAATGGAAGACCTTACAGTGAAGTAAGATTTTTTTTTAACTCATTAACCTAACTGTTAACACATCACTGGTTCTTCATTCTTTCATTTAGGAAAATTTTCAACTCCTAGATAACAAAAATAAACCTCATTTTCTTCTCGAAGGACTTTACAGAACTTTGCAAAATCGAGCAGGCAATATACTTCAGGAAAACAAACAAAAGCCCACCAGCTATATACTGAAAAAAAAAAATCTGTCATATTCTTATCAGAAAGATGAAGGAAAGGCATGCTTTAGAAGAATTGTGTAAACACACAGAGAATGTAGTGAGGGTCCAGGATCCCTCAGTAGCTTCTGAGAAAGCTCCAGCCTTGCAAGCAGTAAGTGCCCATGGTTGCTGAGAACAATCATCTCCTCTGCTTTTTGGGGATTCCCAGCACCACCTTATAGCACAGTGTATGCTCCCAGAGATCACAGCTACAGGTTGTAAGCAGGAGCCTCATTTAATACAATAGGTAGGGTTGAATGTGGCATTCAACATTCAAGGTTGAATGCTTGCCTTGAATGTGGAAGAACAAAATTTTAAAATGTGTAAGAAATGCAGGCACATGGCCAACCCCCAAAAAAGCACCCCCACCAAATGTGCAAGTACTAAAACTAAATATGCCGAACACCAAGTCAAAGCAACCACGAAGTGTGCAAGGCGCTCCCAAGTAGGGATCAATTCTCGGTATCCCATATTGAGCCTGAGCAGCATCAGGAAGAAGCCCTGAGCATTGATGGGTGTGGCCCACCGCCCTGAAGCGCAGGCAAAAAAGCAAACTACATTAATGTTGGGAGACAGCCCAACAGGCTGGAACACCTGCTTTGCATGCAGTAAGTCCCTGGTGTGACCTCTGCCTGGGGTGACCCTCCCAAACATAGGCAATGCCAGGGTTCCTCCCCAAAAGCAAAACAACAAAACTTTTTTTTTTAATTTTTATTAGTGAAACACCATGAGGTACAGTTGTAGATTTACAATTTTTTGTGCTTGGGTTTCGATTATACAATGATCAAATACCCATCCCTCCACCAGTGCCCACTTTCCACCACCCTGGATAATATCCCTCCCACCCCCATCCCCCCCATCCCACCCTGCCTCTGTGGCAGGGCATTCCCTTTTGTTCTCTCTCTCCTTTTGGATGTTGTGGTCTGCAAAAGAGGCAATGGGTGACAATCATGTTCAATCCATAGTCTACTTTCAACATGCATCTCCCCTCCTGGGAGGAAACAAAACTTATTTTTTAAAATGCTAGGCAGTGCCATGGCAACATGCCCATATTCTTACCTTGCCCGTTCCTAGGGTCAATTGAAAGATGACTTATATCACTCTCTCTGTTGCTGAAAAAATAGTAGAATAAGATATAAGTTTACTATGGGCTAAATATTAAGATAGAGAATATCTTACTGAGATATTTACAATGTCTTGCTGGGTTCAGACAATGATCCCATGACATTACAATAGCTATTCTTCCCATCTGGGCTGGAGCGATAGCACAGCGGGTAGGGCGTTCGCCTTACAAGCGGCCAACATGGCCGACCCGAGTTCGATTCCTCCGCCCCTCTCGGAGAGCCCGGCAAGCTACCGAGAGTATTCGATATGCCAGACACAGTAACAACAAAGTCTCCAATGGAGACGTTACTGGGCCCGCTCGAGCAAATCGACGATCAACGGGAGGGCCTTTACCTTTACCTTACCTTTATTCTTCCCATCTGACAAGTGAAGAAATGAAGTTAGAAATTGAGTAATTAGTTCAACGACATGTGTATGGGTGAGAAATGGCAGCGGAAAAGCAGAAAAACAAGGACATTCTCTAAAAGATTCAGCAAACAAGCATGATGCTTTCTCATCACAAGGCAAAGATATACAATAAAACAATTGGCAAATGGGTCATTCTGATTATCTTTACTTATTACTAATGTCACTATAACTAAAGCTGGCCAGAGAAAATTGGCACCATCTAAATATGGGTGTCTTGCACATGGCAACTCTTAGGAATTCATTTGGTCTTTATTTGAAAGAGTGAAAAAAAGAAATTGTCCCAACTGAGAACCCTGGGGCCTTCTCAGAATTGGGGAGGGGGGTAGGAAGAGTTGGGGGCAAGCAGATTCCCCTCCCTACCAGAAGGCACAGAGGCCCGTACTGACATCATCTAGCACAAAAAAATAGCACATCTTCACAACAAATCTGAAAAGTAACGCTGAGTCACTGAATTGTCCAGGTGGACCCATCTCCCAGCTAAGAACTGTGAGGCCTTCTAAGAATGTCAACAGGCAAATTGCTAAGTGTTATCTACACAATATCTCGCAACCACTAGGAATAAAAGTGTTAAAAAATAAAAAAAAAAAAGAAGTTGCAACATAGGAAAATGGCTGTGTGAATTGGTAGACAGAGAGTAGCAGCAGGTAGTGCAAAGGTCCAGTTTAGGAAGATGAAAGAGGTCTGAGAATGGGTGATGATGAGAAATGCTCCTAAACAACGTGCTTACAATGATTCAAATAGCCATTCTTTAGCTTATGAATATTTTACTATAACAAATCAGAAGACAAAAATCAACTTAATAAAGAAAACTAGGGGCAGAGGGAAAAAGGAAAACTAAAAATAATCACATGTCATAAAGTTGAAAATACTTGCACATTCACAGTAATAACATATTATAGCTACCTTTCACTTTCTTCTTTTTTGGCATATATCATAGTACATAGGTGCATTCATTCTATATATAATAACGTGCTACATAGAAATATATGCATTATATGCTATATATTGCAATATAGGCTACAGATGAATATGTATTCATCACTGTCATTGTCACTGTCACTGTCCTCCCATTGTTCATCAATTTGCTCTAGTGGGCCCAGTAACATATCCATTGTGACAATTGTTACTGTGTTTGGCATATCGAATACATCACAGGTAGCTTGCCAGGCTTTGCTGTGCAGGCGAGATACTCTCGGTAGCTTGCTGGGGTCACCGAGAGGGACGGAGGAATCAAACCAGGGTCGGCCATGTCAGCTGCGTACAAGGCAAATACCTTACCCACTGTGCTATCGCTCCAGCCCATGTAATGATATTTCATTTCATTTCATTTCATCATCCTATTATTCGTTGATTGCCTCGAGCAGGCCCCAGTAACGTCTCTTTCATCCTAGCCCTGAGATTATATTCAAGGCTCTTTAGGAGAATGAGACCCATCATTGTTACTGGTGTTTGGCATATTTGGTACGCCACGGGGAGTTTGCCAGACTCTGCCCTGTGGGCAGGCTACATTCGATAGCCTGCAAGTTTGTCCAAAGTAGGAATGAGATAATAAGATGTCATAAAAAAGATGTCATAGTAAGATGTCGCGTGGCCGCGAATGCAGCCGCGTGGTTCCAGGAGCTGGATTTTATAGTCTCTGAGTCTTGGCCGTTGATGGGATTACACGGCGCCAGGGGGCCAGGTGGTGGGTGTGACCCCTGCCTACTGGAATTTGGAGGATCTGGG